CGAAGTCTTATCTTCCCAAAATCTTCTTTGTTTCTTTTTCCTGTATCTCCTAGGGAATAACAGAAGTGCACACTTCCTTTTATGATCCATGTCATGACCTAGTTTTCAATTTAATACGTTTAGTACGGATGACGGCCGTCGAAGGATTGGCCACCCTAGGAGACGCCTTGTCGCACGAAATCGCATCGCAGCAATTCGCATCGGATTTTTTTGCGTTGCGAATTCGCATCGCATCGCAGTTTTGTGTACGAGACCTGAATGGGACATATCGTTTTCATTTGTATTGACTGTTATGAATCCCATCTAATATAACAGAGGGTAAGCCTATTGCCATTTCAGGCACAACTCCAGATTCCGTTCTAAACTTTCTGTCATTGGAAAACCTTTGAAAAATCGATAATAATACTTTTCCACTCAAGAATCGAACCCGTCTCGAGACTCCTTGCTTAGCAGAAGAGACAAGACAGTCGTTTATCAAACTCATATAAAACATATAAGTACCTAAGCTTGTGTAATTATTTTACAGATACTTGCCTACGCTATATTAACCACAGACACATTTAATTATAATTAAAAATTATCGGCAAATCCATTAATAAATTCAATAAATTAACTCCGTATTACATCGAATACATACTCAGAAACTTGAGAACCATTCAAGCGAATGAATTGTATCATAAACATTAATCTTGAATATGATCGAGTAGATCTTACTTCTGATTAATTTTATACCTAAACCATTACCCTTCTAATTCAAATGAAAGTAATTTATTAATGATATTAATTGAATTAGATTTGCTTGGTTTTAGATTTTAATGTTGTAATGTAATTGGTAATTAGAGTTGCTGTTCCGTGATCCGTAGCGTAGGTGTGTGTATGAACCACTCGGTGGTTATTAGGTAATACTTTAAATTATATTATTTTTGTCTCATAACTTGATTACCGACGTCACGTTGGCACCATGGGTGCAACGTTGACGATTTTCAAACGTCTCATGCCCAAATACTGAAAGGCTACTCAATTCTAAGTAAGATGTACTTAAATATTGTGCTATCTCTGTCATTTTACAAAGAATTTGCAGTGACAGAACTATATTGTACCGTCATTATAGACACAATCAAAGAGTATAATAAGTTAAAGAACAAGAGGTGTGCGGACACCGGTGTCCTCGCGGTGTTTGACAGTTTAAAACTTTAGTAGCGTTTGAGTATTTCAGCGGCTCTTAATAAATGTGTGATAATATAATATGTTTTTATTTATGTTTAATTAGTTTCAGGTAGTTCAATTGAAGTGCAAGGTCTGGGCTTTTTTGTGAGAATTGACATTCGGCTCACGAGTGCACGGATGTTTGTTTTGATGTGACTGTCGAACCTGCAAATATCTTTCACTACTTTCCGAAAAAAGGCCCTAGGATATGAGATTAGAATTTATTCCTGTTCCAGAGTACGTTTAACAACGATTTCACATCTATATCACACATTGTGATTTGAATCTATTGATATAGAACAAATTGGTAGATTACAATTGAATTGTTTCAAGCGAAAAGCGAACAACACGAACACGTCGTGTCGTAGCCGGTCCAACAGTCATTATGCCAACCGTGGAGTTAACCACTCGATGAAAGACCCAATCAGGGATAGATAAACAACTCCAACAAGACTAGGGATCAAAAATAAAACTCCAAAAGATTATTTAAATGTATGTAAGTGTATTAGCAACATTGGTACATGAAATTACTGAATAATACTGTCGTGGAATATTGTTGTGCCGCCATATTGCAACACCCACATAATTAACAATTAGTGTTTATTTTAAATACAATAAGTAAAAAAAGACATTGTTCTTTATCACCGATAACCGTGCACGCACCTAAAATGCAAAACTTACGATAATTTCATTACATTTTTTCGTTTATTAATGCCTATCACACCTATAAATTCAATAACTGGTTTTTAATTAGGACTCTACTGATAAATATAAAATGTGAGCATTCATACAGATAGGAGACTTCACTTATATATCGATAGCCAAAGTCTGGTTGTCCGTAGACAACTAGGAATGTGCTGTTCATGAATTAGAAAAAATCTTCGTAAACAGTCCGATTCGTCTATAACAACCAGACGCAGTTTGACTTGAAAATGAATTTAAATTCACTTCGTAACATTAATTCGTCGGTCGATCCAATTTTACATTTCGACAGAATTATTAAATTAACAGTCGAAATAAAATTTACTATTAATCATTTTGCTAAATGATCTAGTAGACCCAGTTTCTGTCACTCGGTAAAAATATTCTAATTCAACTAGAATAATTGTGTTTTTAACTAGAAATAACAAAATAAAGATGGAAGCCACCACAGAGACTATCCTCTAACATCTGTATATCCTGTTGTAAATGCTTACAAAATGTTTTTAATTCCATTACAAAGTCTCGTACAGTGGTACACAAATCCATACTCTACGCACTTAGCAATAAAGTTCATTTTAATTAACAGAGCCTACGCGTAACAATATGATGACTACCCATTCTGACTCCATAGGCCATAACATTCGAATAACTAGTAACTTCTGAAAAAAAAATAAAGGAAATAAAAATAAAAACAAAAATAAATAAAAAAAATCATTCGTTTAATTCTCTTTGATAATATAATTTGTTTAATGATAAGGTATCTTTATGTAAGAGAATAATGTTCTATTAAACTACATACAACGTGACATAAGACAAACTATCATTATATTTAACTACTAAACTGTCGCAACGACAAACGCAGACGATCTCGTTAAATATTATTTTTCTCAATATAAAATTTTTAAATAAAATATAAATAAATCGAGTATTACTGTTCCAACAACTATAACCTATGGTTGACCATAGATGTTAATATATTTTACCTGTGGTTAAACACTAAGGTCTGTGGTGCACTGGCTTGTGACGTCACAAACGCATCAATTGTTTAGAACATGTAAAGTAACGTCATTGGGCTGCACTGATGCCCGTGTGACGTCACAACGCCAGTAAACAACAGCGCTAAGACGCCTGACATCATGGTGAAACTATACGTCTTAAAAATAAAATTTGGAAACTTCTAGAGATCTTTTACTGTAAAAATGGAAGTACAATAACGAAAGACAGCCCCATAAAATAAAATCCATACAACTATACAAAGCCTAGACAAGGATGATTTCCTATAAAATTTAATATAGACATTAATTTTAATAGATATATAATATAAACAATATATCTAGTAATGCCTACAATTTACTAATATTTCCCATCTAAAGACACGATAAATAAATGTATAAAATGATGCGTAAACGATATTTCTTACATCTACACGTAGAACACAAACGAAGTAAGCTTTTTATGCGAGAAATTATAATAAAATGTTCGCTTCATAGAAGCGACGACGCCGTGGCAAGCTTATTGTAATGAAAAACATTCTTGTACATTTGCTTACATTTTTATAATAAAAAATATTATACAAAAACTTACATACGTGGGTACTTAAATCAATATAATGCACTGGATGAGGTCAGTTTTGTACCAGGTTACTCAGTCAACGTTTATCCTGCCGCGGACGTATCAAAATGCATTATTGTGCATAAATTATATTCCAAAAAAATCATTAACTTTCTCACAAAACCCTTATTTAAATATCTTTACCTACTACGACCTTACTACGTAATAATATAATATAAAATAAATAATTACACTAACGAATTAAAATCATAAACGGAGGGAAATGAATCGAAACGTAATATTTTAAAGCTGCTATCGTTCACAATTTACGCGGTTAATTGATACGGCATTACCGTTATTAATCGTATAGCTATAGAGTCTATAATCGTATAAATTACATTGTAGTCACTTGCGGGGTAGGACATAAATAGCTCCCTTTGAAGGATGCAACGAAATTATAAAATATCTACAAATCAATGTTAAACTTCGTCATCCAACTGTCATGTGATTTTGTCACAGTAATCTAGACCTTTAGAGGTCTTTGATTGGGTACAATCTTCTCTAAAACGCCTTTGTCATGTCATTAAGACCTTTAAAGGATCATTTCACGCGCTCCGGTATCCGTGCAGCCGGTGCCTCCGTTAGTTTTCACACGTACACGTACTTTCACTACCGGGTACGCAAAACACGGCAACCGGAGCGTATGAAATACCTTTTCATATGTATCGAATAGGACACCCCACGAAATAAAATAAATATATAAACAATAATAACGTCCCACGATTATGCATCTTAACGCTAATTACAAGACGGATATTACTTATTTTAAAGGACAATTGATGCCTATTTTACATTACCGTAAAGGGTCTGGAATGGTTACAAAATATTACAAAATGTTCTATAAATTACCTTTAAATACTATAACTGCAGTACTCAGGAGACGTTTAATGATTACTTAAACTAATCCTTAGTAACGGTTTTGTTCCGAAAACAATTAATAAAGACTCGGTTAAGTAACCACTGAGTGACACGAGTGCCAACCACGAATAACTATCTTATTCGTTCGGCGCTCTGATTGGCCAGCTCTAGTGAAGCAGCCAATCAGTGCGCGCTGTGCGCTCGTTACTATTCCGTACCGAATGCGATAGTTATTCGTACTTGGCACTCTGAGTACGGCGGTAAGACCTTATACGAAATCTTTAATCATAAAAATTGCTGATTCCGATTCTAAGATCGCAGTGTCTAAACTAATTCATTTATAAATAATAATAATTACGTTCAAATTTTCGAAATATTTGAAATGTATTTTTTTATCAATGTATGTAAAATGTTTAGTTGACGTTCTTTAATATAAATGGTTATATTAGGATAGTATAACGATTCGTTTTGTTAGTCAATTTTGTTTAGAATATATTTATTGCTTAAAGTCACTGTTGATTTGGGTTGTTTAAAAAAAAATCAGTAAATATGAGTAATATAAACCAATTCTCTCCCTGGTAAATTAGATAGAGAATTAACCATGCCAGGAACCTACTCGAATATGTTAAAGGTTTTCAAGTTTATTACAATAACATAAGATTGAAAATCTGTTTAGAAATACGTTTTCGGGTAACTTTTCGTCCTTTTTCATTCATTTAGACCATGACTGTTAAAAATCAAACAATAATTCTATTTTCTTTTTGTCAACAAAATATTATAAAGTCATTAGTAATTATTATATAGTAGATATTTAATTACTTGAAGATTGTCCAACAAAACGAATCCAATATAGTAAATGACGGTGAGCCTCAACATTTTAAATAGAAATTACACAACACACCTACACGAAACTTGCTTTAAGTTATATTTAATTCATTTATATAAATACAGAAATGGCACGACTATTTACATAGGGAATTGACATGATACTTTTACAAATCAAAATGGCAAATAGTATATTTTTGTATAAAACGTAGTTAGTTACATCTGAATGCGATGAGTTAGATTAGGCCTCAAGGCTAATTTTTTACATGTACAGTCAATCACAATATTGATTGAAATTAATGAAAAAAGCCATCATCTATGACCGCTGTCGGTTCATTTATGGCTATGGGCCTCACATATATAAGAGGGTTTGCAATAATTAAGAAAATGGTGCTTCATGAAAAACAAGATCTATTTTCTAATTTATTGTTTGTTATATCTGTAAATTAAATGCATTACAGAAAGTTGTAACATTATAAAAATGCAGTTTTGTAGTCTCATTTATCCCCAAGCGGTCACCGGTGACCGCTCTCCACTAACTACATTATAGACCTTATTTCCAATGATTAGAGACTACTTTTGTATGAACAAATTTAGGGGATGATTTTCAACAATTTTCAACAACTTATAATAAACAATTTATCGAAAAAATGAAATTGGTCAGAGAAAATACAAAAATAAAACATTTTGAAAGAAATCAACATTGTCGATGACTGTACATAACGAACGTTGAAACAGCGTATACCACATTCAACGCGAAATCTACAATTTAATGTATAATTTAACATAAACAATTGTGCATGTTACCTCGCATACAATAATAAATAACTTCAGTACTTCAATTGACTTCGTAAGAAATTCAATAACCAAAAAAAAACAATTTTAAATACTTTTCTGTCACAACAACGTTAATACTGTCCATAAGTTACACCTTAAATACAAAAATCACACAACCTAAATAGTTGCCAGCGTTAAAAAATAGACTACCGAAGTATTGCCATATGAAAATTCTCACGAAGCCAATATCCCTAAGCACAGTTTGACAGACAAGATATACAAATTAATCATGTATGTTAATATTATATGCTGCGTTCACACTCGTTTTTAGTACAAGTCGTACATTTTTTCAGATATTATCTAAATATCCATTCGTCGGTGACGTGTGAACGCAGCATAGAATACGATTTTCGATTTCTTTGATCATGCTTACGGGATTCAACTTGGCGATTATGAAGTAAATAAACACCGATTTAAGTGCAATCCTTTTGTCACAAATCTTAAGTAAAACATTAAGATAAGTCTGTCCAAAATAAAAAATCATAGAAATAAAATACGTCTAAAATTTTTGACTTTTTGAAAAGAAATCACGAAGATTATGGTACCTAAATCGGTGTTTTCTTACTGTCACTCGTCAAGGTCACGTGCGCACGCGACGGCGCGCTAACGACTGCTAGGCGGCATGGGCATTTGAGCTTGTACGCCTTGCAAGTTCATCGGTCGGCCGTTGGGATTGCCCATGCCTAACCCATCATGGTAGTTGTTCACTTCCATCGCTGGTATGTCATCGTTCTGCGAAAGACAGTTCAATGTGAAATCAGCTGTAGATTTTGGGGGAAAAATTGCCTTGGAAGTATCTCTTCTGAGCCAGATAAGGATAGTATGGTAGTAAATACTGCAACTGTCACATTTTATTAACATTCAATTTACATAATATGTGCAGAACATCAATAAAACAAAAATAATATTGACACGTCATGCCAATCATAAAAGAAAACCTCCTATTGACAAAATAAGTTATTAAAATAAAAGCACTGTACTATTTTTATGTTTCAAAGCAGTTTTACCTCGATATGCACATATAAAACATAAATAAGGCATTTACAAAGACATAACATAGCTGTATTCGAGTGCATAGCGTTTCGATTTTGAATGCAGACACCAAGCTGTGATAAAATGAACAGTGCAATGTAATTAAGTGTTGCATAAAAATAATAATTAGATTATTACAATAATCTAATTGTATACTTACACTTGCTGTTATTAAGCCTTATTATTATAGCCATAAAATACTTGAATTTCATATTCAAAATCTAAAAATCGGAAATAAATTGAAAATAGTGTATAAGGCATACAAGTGCTGATTCAGGCCATGAAACTGAACAAGTACTTATTAAAAATATTAAAAAACAAAATTTGCTTGTTTTCTAGGTATGTATGAGATTTACGAGTCAATTCGTATATGTAAAAAGTTTTTTTATAATCAATACTATCGACTAGATAGTCAACAGTTTTTTTATACCTGGACGTTGGCAAAAAAGCTAACGGCCCACCTGATGGTAAGCAGTTATCGTATTACAAGTATTTTACAGCTACAGTAACTAAATTAAATGAAAAGAGTGCATGGCAGAGCTGCGGTGCATTACCTCCCGATGCCTGCGAATGGTCCTGTCCTCGTAGCGCGTGCCGCCGGTGGAGGCCATGGGTCGGCTGAGCGTGCTGTTGGCGTTGCTGGGCGAGTGCGGCGCGCCCGCGCCGGACGACGGCGTGCCCTGACCTACAGCCCACACCGTAAGCGACTTTTGCCGGCGGATCTCAACGCTAACTTTGCTTTTTTTGGTATGTTTTTAATGTGAATTTTAATCGTATTATGGTTTTCTATATGCTTGACGTTGTAAGCTTAGTATTGTAATATAAAGAGGCCATCTAAACTCAATTGAAAAAATCTGCTGAATTCAGTTTCTTGAATTTTGGTATAGATATAGATAGGCAACGTAAACCAATGTAGGATTTTACTTAAAAAGAGTCTTGATGACGAAATTAGAGGAGTTGAATAGATAAAAATAATTTAATATAGAGATCACGAATATTGGTAAAATTTTAAGTAATTTAGAAGTTCAAACAGTTTATTACATTCCATAATGAACTATGTTATAGTCCATATAATAGTTATTTTAAGATTGCATTGTGCGAGTGAAGTTAATTATGAGAGATTGTTAATCACTGTGAATAATTCAATATCCTAGTATTTAATTCGGATACGTTTTCTGATCGCGTCGCGAAATAATATCTAAGAGTTACAAGTTACTGAAGCGTTACAACATGGAGTACGATATAACATATAGTGGACTATTAGTTCGCTATTAGTCGTGATTTTATTTTATCATAGTCAAACTATGGTACTTTCTCTAAATACGTCAATTATTTAGTTTATTATTTTTGAGATTAGTAACACTAAAACTAAATATTTGACTACAACACCTGTTGAGAACAACTATACAACCTTATAAAGACTATTTTATATGTTTAATAAATAAATAGACACTGAACTTAAAAAACTAAAATGGATTGTAAAAGTATACAATACATAATTATACTTTTACTTAGGAATGAAGAAAGTAATGTTACTTTAAGTAAAATTATAAGTATAAGGCTTGTATATTGTTCTAATAATTAGCTTTAATTATAGAGAAAGTTCCATAGTATGTCTATATAATTGTTAGCGTGAGATTCACATAGCATTGTGAGACAATGATACACAGTACATAACGACTGTACACATTTACATGATCTTACACAGAATTTACACAATTTATGTATTTACATATCTTAATTAAGTCATTGAGATTTCTTCGTGGTGATTTTTGATTTCATTGTAGAGTAATTAAAGATAGAAAAAATTGTAATCCTCAGAAAGATCATTTACACTTTTCTTTGCAATTTATTCATAGGTTCTTGCAAATGAAATTGTAAGTATAATGTGTTCTTGCCAAACTGTTCAATGAAGCAACTCAACTTAAGTAAAATTGACAGACATTGCTTAGCATTTTATTTCTTTGATTGTAGTAAGAAACAGTTTTTCTGAGTTGAGAGTATACAAGACTAAACCCATCATATGGTTTTTTACAGTATGTTACGTAATATAATAGTGTAGTGTACATACCGCTGGCAGTGGAGGGCGCGCGAGGCTGCGCGGCCCGCGCGGGAGTGAGGAAGTCAGCCTCGCGCCAGCCGTGCTTGCGGTACACCTCGCGGAGCTCCGCGTGGGACCACATCGTCATCAGGACTTGGCCTGGAGAGAGACAATAAGTACCGAGTTCTTTCATCAACATTCTCGTCATCTTTAGGTTGTCGAATAGCACAGCGACTTGAAAGGTGATATCGCTAAAGCCTCTCAGGACGTTTTTAGACGTTTTAATACTCAAATACTGAAAGGGTACTAAATTTTAAGTTGTTCTTAAATATCGTGCCATCTGTGTAGTTTTACAGAGTTTGTAGTGACAGAACTATACATATTTAAGAGCGACTTAAAATTCGACTTAACGTTTGAGTATTTGGACATTAGAAGTGCGTTGCTGTTGAATGGTGAAAGAGATACTCCGTGGTTTTATTAACAGTTAAACAATATGCAAGTGAAACCAAACTTTCATATGGTGAGTCGACATTTTTGCGATCCACAGAAGGCAATAATGCATTTTGAGAAGTTATCATATCAAAAAGTTGCACGCATACCTGCAAACTTGAGCACCCTGGGCGTATGTCGGTGGCGCTGCTTGGTGAGGTTGAGCAGTCGTTCGACCCCGCCGGCCTCCAGCAGGGAGCGGGAGAACTCTCCACTCTTCTTGATGACCTCGTTCAAGGTCGCCAGGACCGCGGCTATCGTGTCGTCTGATGTGCCCTGGAGAGGTACATGGAGTAAGTTTAGTTGCTTCGCGTGGAGGTAATTCAACTAAGCAATAAACTTGTTAGGACTATTACATTTGTTATATCTTACATGTTAGAGTCTAACATACATCTAACAGATAACAGGTCTAACGGTTAGACCTACTTTTTAGAAAATAATGGGATACTTGACGAGCGTTATTGGTATAAATTATCATAACTTTACATTCATCTCATTTACCACGCCACGAATAAGAGTTTTGACAAACATATTCTATTTTACCGTCGTCACACTTTACGGCATACTCATTGCATAGTTTAGACTAAAACAAAATTCCTTCTTATGTAAATATTACTTTACCTGATCATGCTGATGGTTCCCACTAGGCAGCTTCTGCACTAGGTCTCTCATGGCATACTTCCCGATCAGCTCCTTATTCCTCTGATCTATGGCCAGATTCCGTAGAGCCGTGGCCACAGCACAGACGACACGGTCGACCTCCATGCGCAAGAGCTCAACTAATATTGGTAGACCTGGAAATTCTGGTCATTTTAGCGTTGTTCACTGTCATTCACTGAGTATGGGGTTTTCTGTCACAACTACTGGAGAAAGAAATGAAAGGCCCTCTACCTTGCATGCATTAATAGCGAGAAATAAGACTTAATATAAAAATAGTAGATGTCGTTTGTTTAATTTAATTTTTTTAATAATATTTACAACAATAAATATACAGAGCAAGGTTAATAAAGCTTGTCCAATAATTAACCCCCTAAAAGCGTCTTGGTGAATTTACAAATCAATAAAATAAATAAAAATATGTTTATTGAACATAATTACATAACATCACGCCTCTTATCCCCGAAGGGGTAGGCAGAGGTGCACTTAATGCTACCGTACAATGTAACACCCACTTTTCACTATGTATGTTATGAGTCCCATGTAATAGGGGGTGAGCCTATTGCCATATACCGGGCACATTTCCAGACTCATATAATACAGTAAAGCGAATGTAAAATTCATAATAAATACCTTTTTCTTTCCTGACAGCGGCCCGTATATCGATGGAAGGCTGCCAGTAGCAGGCAGCCAGGTTCTGTAAGGCTCCGGCCGCCGCCTCCAGTGTCTCCGGGTTGGAACATGTTTGTAGCAACGCCATGTATAAGGGGACCACCTGCGGTAGACGCATGTTTTAGTAATTTGTTGTTCAATTAGTTTATTATTCGAGCAGACGGATCACCTGATGGTTAGCAATCGGCGTCGCCCGTGTACACCTGGAACACCAGAGGCGTTGCAAGTGCGTTACCGGCCTAAGGAATTAAGAATTTGAGGATTCAGGGACTGTGGCAGGGAGGGGGGGGGGGGGCGTAATTGGGCCTCCGAATTTTATTTTGTAGTCTATCGAACTTCTATGACCTAATTTAAAAAACCCATGGTGTGTATTAAACATTAGATTCTTCAGTACATTTTACTTTGAAAAGAAAATATATGAGTTATTCAACGACATAGATTAATTGTTGACGGCTGCTGACTATTTTGCTTTAGACAAGCATAAAAAAATTCTATGTTGAAGTAAAGTTTCAGAGAGACAACAGTCCGAAACACCTCGTTTCACAGTCCTCAAGAACAAAAACATCAAGTTATTACTTGGTAGGTATTCTTAACAAAGTAATTATAGCCCCTTCGACGATGTCCAACTAAATTCCTGTTTATATTACAGACTAATAATTTGATACAATTTCCAAACGAAATGAGCTATAACCACAATGTGTCAGTTAAGCAAGTAACGGCCGACTTTTCAAATATCAGTTAATGCTCAACTGTAAACTAAAATTGACAGTTGACAGTTTTTAGTATGGAAGAATTGTCAAATATTTACTCCTTTAATAAAATTTAACTGGCATTGGAAAAATTGGCCCCTAACTCGTATATCCCCAAGCAGTCACCGGTGACCGCTCTACACTAACTACATTATAGACCTTATTTCCAATGTTTAGAGACTACTTTTGTATGAACAAATTTAGGGGATGATTTTCAACAATTTTCACCGGGTTAATCTGATTTCATAACGGGCTCTTAACAAAAGAAACTTATGTTTCAATATTTTACCTCAGGCGACCACAACATCTCCGTCCCCTTAGGTACCGAGTACCCAAGTTGTGTAGTCCCAGTGTCCCCTAGTGGCTGGCTGTCTGGTTCGCTCTTGCCTAAGGGACTCGTAGAATTAGAGGACGATGACCCTTCCTTCTTCTTTTTACTGCCTCCAAAACAGCCTAAGTTTTCGCCTAGAATGAAAAAAAAAGATAATTTTGGTTAACTTTAGCTCAAATCTACACTAATATTATAAAGCTGAAGAGTTTGTTTTTTTGTTTGTTTGATTAAAAGCGCTTATCTCCGAAACTACTGGTCCGATTTGAGAAATGCTTTTTGTGTTGGATAGCCCATTTATCGAGGCAGGCTATAGGCTATAAAATATCACGCTACATTAGTACAGAGCGAGTGAAACCGCGCGGAATGGAAGATATTTGCCATGTATGTTGTGTATCGATCATAAAATATGTTATTGTCTTGTTTCACTAAGAATTTTGACAAAATTGTTAAACTCGGTTGCTAAGTAGTGAATTTCTTTAGTCAATTTTAAACCTTATGGTTTTTCAATAAAGACTATTGATGATTTTTTTATATTAGATGGGACTGACCTTTGACCACTATCTCGCCTGGTGGTAAGCGATGATGTGGCCTACGATGGAGTACGTCGACCCATAAGCAAACTATTCACTCGGGACTATAAACTATTTGAAGTGGGTATTAGATTTTCCCTCTTTATATTAGGTATTTCAAACGTACCTTTAGACGCGCTAGCCTGTATCCTGGCCTGCCCGGATGACTGTGTGGGCGGCGCTCTCGTATCGTACAACGGGTCTTCGATTTCTTGACATCTGATAATATATAAATTTTATTAGTATTACAATTCTAAAGATTTTGTTCCTTGTGAAGTTGAGAATCAATTTTTTTACGTATAGTTTGTAGATGAGAAATGTGGTCATAGAGAAACAATGTCATTTCTATTTATTGCTGCATAATTTAACGTTGATCACAGCTAACGGAGAGGACAATACTGCATTGCATCTACGTAATCCAACAATAAAACGACAGAGCGCCTATCTAAATACCTCAATTCATACATTTTTGCGGAAGGTAAGTACATTAACATAACATAACATCACGTCTGTCATCCCCGAAAGGATAGGCAGAGGTGCACATTACGGCACTTAGTGCCACTACAATGTAACATCCATTTATCACTATTTATTTTATGAGTCCCATGTAATAGGGGGTGACCCTATTGCCATTATACCGGGTACAATTCCAAACTCTGTACTATTATGGATATTTTTTTTAAAACCCAGTAATACTTTGCCCGACCCGGGAATTGAACCCGAGACCCTTGCTCGGCAGTTGTACTTGTGACCTCTCGGCCAACGAGGCAGTAAGTACATCGACTTTCGATGTTTAGCAGAAAATAGTAGAAATCCAACATACCGGTAAGACAAATTCCTGAGTACACAGACGCAGTTTTCGACGATCTTGGTGCCGATGGCGTTGGCCTGCAGCGCGGCGCGCACGGCGTGCAGCAGGGCCTCGGCCAGGCCGGCCAGCCCGCGCAGCCGCCGCCGCGCGTACTCGCCCGCGGACGACGCGTTACGGAGCACGCCCGACGCGTTGCGGAACACTGTCGACATTCAAATAAGATTAATTACACTAACAACTGGAAACTATATTTCGTTTTTATTCCGCTGAATAAAAGAAAACTGCATTCAAAGATATTTAAAATTCGCTCTCCGCACTCTGTAATCGAACCAACTAAAATCTGTAAAAGTTGCACCATGTATATTTATTGCATCCTTTGTTAGGGTCAATAAAGATGAAATATCTCTAAAAAAACTTCATAAATTTAATGAGAGGAAAACAATGAACGATCATGCAATAAAAGTACAGCTCGGAACAATAACTAAAGCATGGAAGCCAGGCTAAAATGACAACTACACACCATATATTCATCTTTTTTTTACTTATGGTATTGACAGTGTATAAGAAAGAGACATGTGTATTGTTTCATTTCGTTATTATGCAGGTTGTCACTACTTGTAAATATGCTAGTGATGGGAATAAATTAATATATTTTATCGATAAATTATGGTACCTGAAAGAATTGCTGCTGTGGTTTAACGTAAATTAGGTTCCTAATCTGGATGTCGTAGGTTCAGAAATAAAACACAATATTAAAAAGATAATTTAATGTTCACAAACAAAGCATATTTACAAACCGTGGTAGTGGTGTACTATTATGTGTTTATCATTGACTTTTAAATATAATTGTCTTTGTATAAATATGTACGAATTTTTTCGGTAGGTACAGTCAAATTTTTAGTTATATATTGTATCCTAAGTTTAAAATATTTTTGTGCTATGGACTGTGACTGTGCTATGTTTATAAGAAGATTTCTAGATCATTTAATTCACGAAAAATTTCTGACGGCAACACATTTGCTGAAACTTTATTAATCAATCTAATAATTAATTTGGTTTACCGAGAGATTTTGAATCAATATGCACTTGATATTCTCTTATAATTTTTTCGGACATTTGACAGATCTTGGTTAAGCCATAATTATGTTGGTTTAAATAGGCCTCCTTTATTTTTAAAGATATCAAAGATATTTTCGCATTGTAAATATTTTTTAATTTCGTTCCGATAAAGCCGGTTATGTATTCTATGACATTTTTAGCATGTTCCGTAAGAGATGATGGGTACAAAATGTAGTCGTGTTCTGTCAAATCATCAAAAGTATCATGTCATTCGGGTTCTAAACGACGTCTATACTATAAAAAACTTCAAAGCCTAACTATAATATCGATATATAACATGACCACATCACTAGCTTGAAAACTAACTTAGAAAACTGATTTAGATTTTTTAGGAAAAGATGGAATAATACTGTTTAGGCTTACAATTGAAAAGTACGACAATAAATAAGGAACATTTATTTATAGTTTGCCGGTATTTCCAGTATAATTTATTTTAAAACATATCAAAAACTTACGAATGAAAGTAAATTTTTTCACCACTGTTTTCTTTTCTTCCTAAATGTGAATTGCAGCCGTCAATCATACAAGACGTATTTTTATTATGTAAAATACATCGTAAAGACGTATTTTTATTATGTAAAATACATCGTAAAGAACGACCATACATTTTCTTTCTTACTTTCTTTTGCGCTAATTGCTTAGAAAATATTTTTTATTATCAGGAGCCGTAAATACAACCACGGTGACACTTTAGTACTAAAATCCGGCAAAGTGAGGAAGGTGTCAAACTGTGAAACATAGAACGTCAAAACGTGATTTTGAATTAGGTAGTATGCTGAATGAGTCCAATGACATAAGATTGTAATGAGTCCACTGAAAGTTGTGACAACCTGCAAATTATCAGAACTATGTTCAGTTTGCGGTCTCATTCTCGCCTACGCAAAATCGTGTAAAGAGCGAGAGCATCAAATATACGTTTGTAAATTGCTATTTTAGCCTGGCTTCCATGCTTTAGTTATTGTTCCGAGAAGTACAGGGTGCAAAACTTTGACAGATTTAAATCAGTTCAATGACAGTGAAAAAAATTATGGGATGCAGTTTTGTTTCTTTTCAAAAATAAAGGAATATTTTCTTTGAGTAAAATTTTTATAAGAACTATCGTGTAACATACGTTACTAAATTAACTAAAATCGCGGGTTACTCACGTGAATATACTGAGAAAAGCTCTACTAGTTTAAGACCACAGAGAGGTACTTCCTCATGAGCAGCGTGCGTGGTCGCGGCGATGTCGCGCAGCTCACTTGTGATATTCACGTGAGTAACCCGCGATTTTAGTTAAAAATAAAATTCTTGCGCAAACAAGTGTTATTTTAATATGATTTCTTAAATAAAAATAAAGATATTTTCCTCACCAGTAGACCAGTAAGTGTCTCCAGGGTTGGTGGGATGCCACCCAGAGTGCGGTATGATGACCTTGTTGACGATGACCTGGGCCGCGTCATCTATGATGGACTGCTTCAGATCCTCACACGATGACATGTTCCATATCACTCCTGTTACTAGTTCTTTTACCTGTTAAGAATATTGTTACTTTAGTTATCGAATCACGACCCAATTTTAATAATGTGGAACCAATTTTGTTCCAAAGATGATTCCTTTTTTGTCATTTGCACATTGTAAACCTTGAAAGCTCACAATAATAAAACAATAGTCTATTTTGTCTGTTTGTAAGAAATGATAACGTCATCAACTTATTGCCCAAAATGCAAATATAAGGCCAGGGGAGACAGTTTTACGTTTGAATCCCATTTGTGATTGCATTTTTTATTGATGGTATACTAAGCTTTTGACCGCTGCCTGGCCTGGTGGTAAGCGATGATATATCCAACAATAAAACACATCTCTCTATGAGCAACCTATTCATATCACTTTTCAAAACTTATTCCTAAGAAATAATACCTCCATGTCAGTAGCCCGGCACAGTAGCGCCATGAGTGCGGGGATGCCGCCGGCGTCACGTATGGCTCGCTTGTTCTCGTCGTTCTGTCGCCCGTACGACAAGTTGCGGAGCGCGCCGCATGCGTTGCGACATACTTCAGGGTTCTCGTGCGATACTAGTCTCACTAGGGGGGGAATACCGCCTGGAATATAAGAAATTGGTTTGTTTTTTGTAATCTAAACCTTATTACTTGACATTAAAGTTTAAAATCGATTAATATTGTTAGTTTGAAGTCGATATAGAAGATATTGAACCCTATGTTCAAGAGACGTCTCGTGGCTGATATGATGATGATGATAATAATGTCGGCATCTGTTTTTGTAGGTCTCTATCATCACAGTCGTATTTTATTCTTCGTTAATGGACGATAAAGTCAAACCATCGATTACACGACTAAACCGAAATATTTCGTATTTATTTTTTAAATTTGTAGGCAATAGGCTCACCCCCTTTTACGTGCAACTCATAATATAAAAAGTGAAAAGTGGGTTGTACAGTGGCATTATGTGCCGTAGAGAATGTGCACCTCTGCCTACCTCTCCGGGGATAAAAAGCGTGATGTTATGATCTATTTGGCTCCTGATTTCAATAAAACTGATTCTTTGTATCCAAACGGAAAACTTTGTATTCAATTTGAAACTTTTATTTGTAACACAGTCATATAAGAATTGTGGAGTAATCACTAACTTATAATATTTGTAAAAGCGCAAACACTCATAACATCTTACCTAAACTCCTTGTCTTCTGTTTATTAGGGTCGTCCATATACGTGAGGTGCTGTAAATAGGCGGCTGCGTTGGCCTTCACCACGTCAGAGGGGGAGTTGAGGAAACCGATCACTTCAGGCAGATTGGGGTCCCTCCATTGTAGACCTCCTGTTTCTTCGCGACCACCTACGCTGCCGTGTACTGGGGGAAATAAGAAGATTGTTTGTACATATTTATTTGAAAATTAGTATTTATTTAGAGAACCGAAAATTTTTGCACATAACATTTATTTAGGTATTTTGAGATGGGGATTCAGCTAGGCAAGACAGAATTCAGATTTAACAATTTACTTTTGATTTCGGTCTTCTTTTAAATAGCTTTTATTACATACTTTCAGAAAGTATCAAGTAACTTGTTTAGAAATAGGTTGCTTATGGGACGCATGCTCCATTGTAGACCGCATCATCGCTTACCACCAGGCGAGATAGTGGTCAAACGTCGGCCCATCAAATATATTATGTAAAAAAGCAACCAATTTAAACTATGTCTATTGTACGTGCAAAACTAGGTTTCGCATTAAGAGAAATCAAACACCAACCATCACACAATAGATTTTTTTCCATTTCGAATAGCCAATACATTGAACCATAATCATTATTCTAGAAACTATGAGTGAATTCAATAAGTAATCATATAAGAATCTTACCTAGTGCCATATTTGCCATCTGTTTCTGTAACTCCTCATCGTCTCCATACATCGACTGTCCCCCGGCGCTGCCCAGGCTTAGACCATTCTGTGAATCCTGGCGATAACAACAAATCAAGTTATTTATTATACTTATAGGTGTCATGCATATTTTTCTTCCTTTAAGTTTTATAAGTAATTTCAATAAACATGAATCGCATTAATCAGAAAGTCTTAACCAGGCTTATTTGCCAGCACTCCTTGAAATGTACTCTAAAGGAGTTACAAAGTGCGTTGCTGGTCTTTTCAGGCTTTTTTTAAGGGGAGAAAATCATCGAATGACTGCTCCCGCCTGGGTAAGGCGGGAGGGAGTGTCAGACTCTTACTGACTAAAAACCACCCCGTTCCTTCTCCTGCACGTCGAGCCGGAGCCCCGTTTACCCGTTAGGTTCTCCGCGACACCGGTCTTTTGAGGCTTAGGTCTCCTATAAAATTACTTACATGGCATAGCACAATGTCAGCGCTGTTTTACGATGGTTTTAATTAAGACCATGATAACACTTCGGTCGAGTGTGCCTATTCATGGCTCACCCACATGAGAAATATAAAATATATAATGTACCTTGAACGGCGGAGGTTGATGCGGAGGTTCATACGCCGTGGGATAGTGTTGGTATCCGTACGCGTCGGGCGCGTACTCCCCGCGCGGTGACGTCACGCAGTAGTGCCGACCCAACTGCTCTAGAGAAGCTGAGTCGTACCTAGTAGATGCACACGAAAAAATTGTACTAGTAGAAATGTTATCCTTAACTTAAGACTACTAGCTAACAGAGTGTAATAATAAAAAAACAACTTTCAATAAATCTTTGTGGAATGTAAATTAAGTTTATTTCAATTATATTTGCGAGATCCACTCTAAAATATTTCACCTTTGTATCGTGTATATATGCTTTTATAACCACAATTATAACAATGTGTAGATCTCAGTTTTTCCGTGCGAGAATCGAAACTGTAACACTCCCGGATAAGGAAGGAAAGAGTTTTTATAAAACTTCACTAGAAGTTGAACAGAATCTAATAATTAAAATTCAATTTTTCTGTTAAAAATATCAAAAACTTTATTCCAATGAAAACACGTCTAGATTCTAAGAAAGTCTCACACAAACTGAAAAACTGAATAATGATTGTTATAAAGAATAACACGATATAAAGACTAATCAATGCACAGCTGAGTGACTGTGAATAGTCACTAAGCTTACATCACTAAAGTAGATATTTACTATTTTAACTGTGACGCATCTATTGTTGAACATACTTTCTCTGCAAAATACAATAAAAACGATCGCATTGTCATATCTGAAGATCATTCACGTTTTATATCAACTCTGTAGTACAATAGCAATGGTGTCGAACATTAAATTGAAGTTTGCGCAGTCACTTTTATTTGCGCTTAAATCGGTGGATCGAGGCGCAGTTTGCGCAAAACAGTTTCATTTATATTAAATAATATTATTTAAAAATTTCAAAATCTCTGACTCTGTCTAGATCTATATTCTTCCAAACATTGTGACTTACCTTTGTTGTAGGTGTAGATTGTGTTGTGGCAGAGCACCTGGTGATGCGCTCCGGGGCGAAGCGCTACCACCTCCTTCCACGTACTCCTGTAGATTGAAAACTTTGTTAAGTATTTATACTTAATCAGAATGCTAGGACGCGCCAGGCTTTATCGTTTCGATGTTTGTAATTATTTACTTTAGATCCTGGCTTATAGGATTTCAAGTCATTTGAGCGTTGAAGGCTGATTGTCCAAGAAAAATGCACGGTTCAGGATCGTAAGATTCTGGGTTGGTTAAAAAGTAGACCTTTGCCAATCTCGTTTATACCCCAAAACGGCCTTAAAGCTATGGTGTTGTACTTGTTCGAATCATAATCGACTTTGTCATTATTTAACCAATTTTCAAATCAATCAACAAAAAATAAGGTACAAACCTGTCCCATATACTGTGGGACTTGCGTGGTCTCCACCATGTATGCCGTCTGTGGTTGATAGGCGGCGGTGCCGTAATGGCCGTATGTGCCATAGTGGCCGGCACCACCAGCGCCTGCATAGCTGCCACCTCCGCTAACTGAGACTGAGTCCATCACCTAGGGAGAAAAAAATGGAGATGATTTTTGAGTATCGTAAAGAATATGTGTTCTGTTTGATCTAACTCCTTCTGTCTTTTCCACTTGACTCGTCGATGTCGATACTTTATAGACTCTGTTAAAGTTTCTTTTGATGTTTGGGTTTGGATTACAGGAACTCACGCTTGTCAAGACCCAAGCGGTCGCCAATGACCGCTCTCCACTCACTGCATTATAGACCTTATTTCCGATGTTTAGAGATATTTCAGATATTTTACCCCACAAGACTACAACCGCTTTAAGGTTTAACCTTGATTCTAACATGACTAAGGTATCTTTATGCTATCACAATTAAGGTGGAAACCAACTTACATGGGGATACTTCTGTGAGGGAGCCATGGTGAGATGTCCCATGTGATTATAGTGCGCCGCGGGCGAAGACACGTACTGTCCATAGTCGGGTTCTACTCCAGCACCAACTACTGGATACTCACCAGCCTGAGGAAAAAATACCCATTACATTACTGGACATTATTGTTTTATCATGACCATTATCATATCAGCTATAAGATGTCTACTGCTAAACATAGGCCTCCCCTATGGCTTCCAGATCTGCCGGCTAGAAGAGACCTGAGGCATTAGTACGAGTTTCTTTTTCGTTTAAAGTAATCGAAACGAGACGGCGTTCTGTGCTCTGATTGGTTGGTTCATTAGAGCTGGCCAATCACAGCGCCGAACGCGTACTCGTTTCGAATACTTTAAACGTAAAACAAACTCGTACTAAGGTCTCTGCATCCAGTATTATTGTTTGTTCTCAGGATAAAAATTTTATTACAAAATTGGAGTTCGAAACAAGTATTAGTTTATATGGAAACAAATCCATGAAATTTTCTTTCCACTGCGTCCATCTGATGAGGAAGTCGTAGAAAAATTGCGCCTAACAACAGCTTTCGTACATCTTTTTCGGTTACCCCAAATTTAACTAATATTTCATTTCGCTTTGGGACTTAAGGACCCAAACCAACCTCAACACGAAAGATAAATTAAGAACATCACAAAAAGAAACTAAAGTCGCGTATTAATAATACAGCGCTAAAAACACAAAGATTCAGAGACAAAGAATTTAATTTTTCACCTAAGCTTAAGTAAGATAAAACAAAAATACTTAGACGCGACCAGCTAAGAAAGAATTTTACATCTACCTATGCTACATAGCTAACTATGTACCTAAGTTTCGACCTTTTTTATATTGATTCCGTAAGAACCACGGACCGCAAGATTCTCGCTAAAAATTGGACCAATTACGTTGTAATCTTATTATCTTCAAGATGATCTCATTATATTGGGTTTAAAGGTTAAGATGGTTCTTCCGAGAACAGAGTCTGATATAAATAAAACTATTTACTGGCAGTGTGAACTCAACGTACGGTTCTTTAAAATTATAGTTTAGATCTACGTGGCTGTTTTTCTCTGAATAGGTGGGTGAGGTGTATGTACAATTAGTGTTACGTCATTTATTTATATTAAACCTAGAATTATTTGGTACCAAATAAAAAAGTTCGTTTTATAGTTTTAGAAACATAACCGTATCAAATAGCAGACAGTTTAAGCTTTTGACTGCCGACAGAAATCTGTTGCAGTCAAATTCTCTACTGGCGCCGGTCACGGGGTGGCAGCTGACTGTAAAAAAATCCATGCTGGATCTGTAATTTTGTATTCGTTTACATGGAATATTGATTAACTAAAAATCGCGGGTTACTCACGTGAATATACTGAGAAAAGCTCTACTAGTTTCGAAACACACACGCTGCTCATGAGAAAGAACCCGTCTGTGATTCACGTCACGTTATTATAAAAATATGGAACACTGGGTTTGATGCAATTTTTATCGATTAATAGGTAAACCTTCTTAGAGAAGGTAAAAGTTACAATAGTGCTGTGCATGCTAGTGGGGAAAAACAGTCTGACGCCGCAAATGTTGGCAATAAACTCAAGTTTTGAAGATTCGTGCATATTTCCGATAGTGAAGCTTCAGCTAGTGAGGGTGACAAAACGCAGATGTGGAAGCCATAGTGGTAGAAAGCTGGTGATAAATAAATAAGCAATGTAGATGAAGAATCCGACCGTACCATATAACTGACCTGCATAGCAAGGTGGTGCTGGTGGGCGAGCGCTGCAGACAGCTCAGCGTCCTCGGTGGAGGCGTCCGACCGCGACACCGGGCTGTGTTGCGGACCATATGCGTTCTCCACGGGGCCGTTGCTGTAACAAATAGAGGGTTGTATAGAGAAGCTGGGTCAGATATTGCCAGGATTTTTAATCTTCTTGTTTTGTAAATAAAGTTGCAGATCTGTGAGGAAAACGTAGATTGGTGTGATAGTCTGGATTCTGTATGTGTCCATCATTAAAGCATTTATAGAAACAATAAAATCTCATGTAGTCAATCGATCGATAGTTTATAACTAAACATCATACATTACTTCTATATTGTGTTCAATAAAATTGGAACCATAACTAACCTGTGTGCAAGGAATTTGGACGTTGCAGTCTCATTGGAAGACTGATAAATACAAAAACGTCTTCTATCATAATGGCTATGATGAGACCAGAAACGAATAACCAACATCAAAACACAGGTAACCAAACAATCAAGGAACACAAGTTTAATCTCAGCACTTGATGGCACGAAATCCAGAGCAGAACACTAGAGACACTTTCAAAATGACAAACGCACTTGTAGACTAAAGTTATTTCAAAAACAATCTAATTTAATTTGTCTATTTTATCCTATATAATATTCAGATATTTTAATGAATTAAAACATGTTCTGTTTCAGCACTTTATCGAATGCAAGGTTTCTATACACTGAACGTCTATTATTCTACAAATAGTCTTTAATAGTTTTCAATATAGTTCATTCTATGTTCTATTGAGCTATGTAATGTCGATAGTTATCGAAGAATGGAAGAAATGTGACAATATTACTCATGTCTATTTAAGTATTTTATAGCATTAGGAAATATTTTGCTAGAAATTATAATTACATTACGATAGCTAGTGTAATGTATTACAAAATTGCTAAATGTCAGTTTTTCCTAGGAATCCTAGGATGAACGAAGACCTAGCTGTAAATTATAATATTTGGAAATAATTGTGTAGAACTGTAATTAAACTACGAAACTTTTTACCGAACTAGATGGTATGTGTTACCGGTTACACTCATAGCCATATTACAAGATAATGTTACTTAACAATGATGGACCAGATAATTGTAACTTGTTGGCAAAAAAGCGAATAATGTCAATAATATTTAGACGACAAAATATGTCTGTTTGTTGGTTGGTTTGTTTATTACTCCTTCACGCAAAAACTGCTGAAAGGATCGGGATGAGATTTGGAACAGGGGTAGATTACACACAGGCTTTTTATTCCACGGGAATGCGGGCGAACCCGCGAACAGAAGCTATATTTAAATCTACATGAAAAAGAAGCTTGTTCCTCAGACAAAAGTACGCATGTCTTTTTGACAATCATCAATCTCGAACCCCAAATCTTTACAATTTTGTAACAACTGTTACAGTTACTTCGAAACCACGTGAGATTTATTAACGATGACTTTTATTGATGTTTACTCAATCAAGCTGATTGCCTTACTTCGGAATTCATGATCATGAATCATTCATCATCGAATTTGTTCCGACAGAACAATTGGAAGTCAACATTATTTTTACAACTGCTTACTTGGCATTATTGTTTTTGTAATTAACGATAAATTAATTACTTACAGATTTAAATCTCTAGTTTTTGCAATGCCAATAAAATCGTCACTAAAAAACAAGCCCGATTGGATGGATGTTGAAAATAAAGAAACTCTTTACGACCGATTTCTGTGCCATATCGTATTTCTAACTAAACTAACACGCTACTTATTTTCTAAACGAAGTCAAAAATACATAAGTAAAAGACTTTAATTTACTAAATTAACTAAAAATCGAGGGGATTAGTTAATTTAGTATGTCTCACGATAGTTACTATAAAAACTACTTTATTTAATTTACAATTAAAATGACGAAATTATATAGTTAAATATCATACAACGGACGCGGAAAGCTACCTAAGTAAGCAACACCTATTCGCAACTTACATTTGAAGATAAGACACGCTATTCATACCTAGATCAAGTTGATGTATTTTATATGTCACGAATGAATAGGGAGATATGAAGAGAATACGGTAGAAGTGTATCGTCGTGAACTCAAAGGAAAATGGTATTTATTGTAGTATTCGTGTATTGTCCGGTTAGATATAAGATTTTAAATAACTTAAAGCCTATTACTGCATAACTTACATGAATTTACACTATTACAATTTTATGGCTAGATAATATTTATTTTATTACAATTCTAAAACCGTTGGCAGTCTTCTTCCATACAGAAGACGTACTCTGCTGAACAAAGACTTTCCATTACTTTTGCATCCATTAACAGCCTGTGAGAATCCACTAGTGGAATATAATCCTCCTCCACATTTTTATGGGAGGAAAAATCATCTTTGAATGGCTTCTCCCACCTGGGTAAGGCGGGAGGGGGTGTCAGACTCTTACTAAGTAACATTTACCACATTCCTACTCCTGCACTTCGAGCCGGAGCCCTTTTACGTTCTCCGAGGCTCAATCGGCATCAGCCCTATTGAGCCCAATCCGTAGTGGTCTGATAGCTCTTTGAGGCGTGCGCCGAACGCGACACCTTCGATCCTCGTCCACATAAGCGGGTTTGCCATATCTTTTAACAATTTTGTAAATAAAACTGAACTTAAAAACTCTTTCTATTATTATATCTGATATTTACTAGTGTCAAGCATCTTGCAGACAGATATCAAAAGAATAAAAATAAAACGCTGGTTCCGAAAGCTCCCAACGAAGTGATTATCCTAAAACAAAGGATACACTAGGGGATTAATCTCCCAAGACATGTATCGGCGACATGTCGGGCGAAGTCGGCCGAGGTCGCCTGACATATACGGTGATAACGCGCGACTTATGTCCACCCGACGTTAATGTTGCCAGACGTCGACCAAAGGACGACAACGTCGCGCTACTTCATCCAATGTCGCTGGCGATACGTGTCGCAGGACATATTTATGCCCCCTTGTGTATCCTTGGCTTAAACAAACACACTAAACTCATCTAGCTAAACTGCTTACATTCAACATTACCAAAATAATAGTTAGTAAGCACAAGATTACGAAACACTAGTATGATAAATCAATAATCTGACCCCAAGTATCTCAGTACAAATCTATTGTTAAACAGTTAAACATTGGAATTACGAAAACCCAGAGCTTAGTCGGTTAGTCAGATTTCTGCGACCTTTTGTGATCTACCGACTAAATACCTCGCTATTTAAACAATAACTTTGTTTGTGTATTCAATAGAAGTAATACGGTTTCTATACAAAACAATATAGAGTACAAAATGTGTTTCTAAGCGCGTAACTCGGAAACCGCTGGAACGATATAGATAATTTATTTTGTTTGTATGTTATATTCAGGAGAAAGTAATAAGAAGACTGACACAAACTGATAAGCTATAATAATTATTGCAAATGATACAATAATCTATTAATTATAGGAATTGTTAAAAAATACATTAGGGAATCACAATACAGAATACTAGCTAAGTACAATAATTACAAATTACAAGGACTTTCCAACGTAATAATAATTAATTAATCTCGTTAAAATTACGGCCAGATATCCCTTCAGAGAAGTAGATGATATTATCTTAAGACGAGACGGGAGAGCAAAACATCAAACGACAAATCTCGTATGTCTGAAATGTTAGTCGGTTTATTCCGAGTACTTATATCTATGTACTTAAGTTACGACCTTATGTATGGATATATTTATAGTTTAATATGTCTTATTTACTTGCTGAAGATATCGAGTTGAAATTAATAAATTATCACCTTTCTTTTGTCTAACAATGCAGGTTACTCTTAAAACACATTAATAAAAGTTTTCCAAGCGTCAAACGCAAGTAAATGTTAAATAAAAATCGATTTTTCAAAAGTTGTAAAAATATGGTAATTCACTGAATATGATCAGCGTCTGAACGTCTGGGGTCTGTCGTTGGAATCGGTGTAGACTATAAATCATTATCGATTTCTAATAAAGACGTAAAAAATCTAAATTGTCGACGAATACAGAAAATCGAGATATTGCTTAAGCTGGCTGATTCCACAACAAACTTCTTGGTAAAGTCTGATAGATAGTATTCATATTTCCCCGTATATCTGCAGTATTCATAAACAAACGCTATTTTCCATTACGAGCTCAACAAATTGCAATTACCAACATCCGTCCTCTGTAATGTAGATTCTTTAATTTAAAATAATACAATTAATTAACACGAGCGAGGCGGGTTCCACGTAACATTTTACCGAATTAATAGGACGCTATATAAAATTTATGGAAAATTTACATCACTAAATGCTTCAATTAAGGTGTCCATCAATTTTGTGACGTCACTTGCCGGTATAGGAAATCGTTCATTGATACAGTCGCTCCATGCAGTTGGATATTCATTGATTTAAAAATATAACAATCAATAAACACACATTGTTGACGGGCAGACGTAAAAGATCAGTGACCCGAGAGTAAATTGAATTTGTACGCGTATAAAATACTGCACCAGCCTGTATGTACTTGGGCAGCTCTGATTTAATTAAGATTGTGGCAGAAATTGTGATGGCCGATTAGATGTGGAAAACACTGATAAGGAGCAACAATTTCACTCAAAATCCTTTTGAGTGAGTTGAGTTTTCTTACTGACAGACAATCAACTTTTCTTAAAACCCGACTAGTTTTCTAATAAGATTTTAAACAATTCAACATTCATTTTCTAAAAAGCAATGACTATACGAGTGTTTTTACAATCTAAAAGATCAACAAACTAGAGTTTACACGAAGAAATTGCGTCCAAATCAACATTTACATTCCGCTTGAAATTCGTCCTTTTCAAAGGTCCGACAGAAGCCCTGTGTCTCTAAGCAACGGCGCTGATTACGTAACAATATATCGAAGACATTTAACAAACAGCATGCTTCAATACATTTAATCCGTGTTTCGTAAACAGTTTAAGTGGCTTAACTATCGAGATATCAAATGTATCGAGTATTGATCGGTTCAGCGCATGCATTGTCACAGCACAAATGAGACCACAGCATAGTTTGCCCGCCAGCTTCGCCCACAACACTAATGTA